TACCATTTTTCAGGTTCTGGTAGCTAATAGAGGCGAAGTCGCAGCCCGAATAATTCGAACTCTTCGTGAAATGGAAATTGAATCTATCGGCGTATACACCTACGAAGACCGCTTCAGTCAACATCGTTTGGTTGAGTTGCCAGCTTTATTTACAGTGACTGTTGAATGCACTATGGGAATCGACACGAAGAACCGCGGGTGCTCCGCAGTAGAGCTTTAGAGTACCTTTCCGCCCATCTGCTCCGGCACGTACATTGAGTGAAACGCTTAGGATCTCATTCACCTTTAAGAGTGAAAAATGTTGTATTCACGCTGGTGGCTACTCTAACTCTGGATTGCTAAGTCGCGGTAGCGCAACAATTTGTGGTCATGCAATCGTAAACTCCATGAGCAGCTTCAGAATACTATAAGAGAAGGGCAAGGTTGCACTCATACTCGAAGGAATTCTATCTGCTGGAAACGTAGTGCTCAACCTTAACAAGGGAGGTCGTATAGTGTGGTATTGAGAATTCCTTCTTTCTTCTAGACTTCATAGACAGATATTCAACAGACATTTATTGGTGTCTGGCTAGCTAGTCTCAAACAGGAATACCGAAGAGCAGTCTTGCACGGGAAACGCTGGGTCCGGAGGGGGGACGGGGCAGCCGATCTTGAAGTCGTCGATCCTCTCAATAATCTGTGTTTTGCGCCGCTCCGCGCGCCTCCTTCGCCATCGCCCTGTAATCAGTAGAATTCATCTCTGCAAGCTTGCTCCAACTTAGTGACTCAGCTTGTAACTGTACCAAGTATCGATTAATCCCTGTTCCTCACATTTCCCAAGACCTTACAATATTGACGTTTCGGGCCTGCAGAAAAGAACACCTGCATACTGAAGGGCACTCACCAAGATGGTATCGGAGACAAGGTGAAATTCGCTCAAAATTGAAGTTCTGTCAGTGGTAGTGCTGAAAAAGGTGCGGAGGTTTCATAAGCGTCGTCGGAATCCTCCTGCTCGTAGTGGCCGATGTCAGACTTTGCGATTGGAGCGATCACTCCCGTTGTGGCTGGCGCGCCCCCTCGATCGATACGTTGACTGCGGAGCTGCGCTAGGCTATCAACGTATCGATCGAGGGGGCGCGCCAGCGATTGATCGCTCCCTGCCACAACGGGAGTGATCGCGCCCATCGCGCGATTGGAGCGATTGGTCATGATGGGAGTCATGTCAATCGCGCGATGGTCGCGCGATTCACATTTGACCGAATCGCTCCAATCGCAGAGTCTGACATCGGCCAGTAGTCTTGTGGTCAAGTGTATAGCATGATGGCGTTGATGGAAGGGACTTTGTGGTTCGACTCCGCTCCATGACAATTCTTTTGCATTTTTGATTATCACCTCCGAATCGGTGCCAAATTGCTTCAACGTCAAAACTAACGCTGTATTCACACAATCAGGACCATCAGCAGCCCTTGCGAATGGGTTTTCTAAAAAAAAACTGGCGGAATCAATTTGACGGAATCTAGAGTTTGGCTTACTAGGGAATATTCTACACCACATCGCAGTCCTTGAAATCGATCTAGCTATCGAGATGAAGCCTGCGAGTGGAAGAGCCACTGAAGGACCCAACAGATCACGTTTTGATGGAGAGAAGAATCTGCCGACTTCAACATCATGCTTGTCCTACTGTACATTACTAGCTTGGGTGTCTGCCATTGTCCATTCAGTAGTGAACTTCTCCTTATTTGGGAAGGATAACAAGGAACTCGTTTCCAGTTCACCGGCTGGAGGCAACGATGAGCTACTGACTGACTATCAATGGCCAAATTCTCGGGTCTGGGTCAAAATCTCAGTTTTCTCTAAAACTTCCATTATAAGGGTTACTGATCACGGATATGACATCCATTTTTTCCGATTGCTCAAATTTACGCCACTTCGGCGCCATTTGGCGCCCATCTGGCGCTACAACATTTTTCTACCGGATTGCGGTTAAAATTCGAGTGCAATACTTACTGATGGTGATGAGCACGACCCCTAATATTGGCGCTGGCGCTATTAGGAGCGAATTTAGAAGCTCCAAACCCAAATGCAACTCTCTTTCCGGACTTCTTATTCTTTTCATAACAGTATATAATATGCATCCTCAGAACAGTATTCATATCTAGTGCATCAATAAAGTTGACTATTCGATGGAAAAACTGCTTTAAGGGACCATTTTACTCCGTTTTGAGCGGAAGTTGGGCGCGCCAAAATGAGGCGTGGTCCCACGAGCACGCTACGTGCAAATTGCGCATTGTCGTCAAAGGGTTAACGGCTGGAGTCAGACGGGTAGGGTATACCTATCGGTGAGCGAGGTACGCAGGTGCAGTCCTGCCGGGCTGCTCAAGGGATTTCCTTGTTTGTAAAATGCGTCGTCTCGCTTTTTGAAGAGCCAGCTTACCTTCCAACTTTCGAGGTATACTTCCCCTTATTCGACCGTAGACCTTATGTGGAAGGAATCCTCGTCCGAGGCATGTTCATTTTCCTGATTTTTTTTTGCAGAAATTCATTCAGTGCTTGAGGCAGCCAGCTCTAGCATGAACGAATGCCATGTAAAGCAACAGTCCCAGCAGGGTGGGCGTGGTCGGAAACGACTGCAATCCCCTCGGCCGATTCCGACCACGCCCACTTCAGCTCCCTCCTAGCGGCTTTCCAAGGTGAGTTTTTGTTCAGTCACACTTCTTACGTTCTTGACTAGGGGCTGAACAGCTCCGAAGTGGGAATCGGCCGAGGGGATTGCAGCCGTTTCCGACCACGCCCACCCTGCTGGGACTGTTGCTTTAAGATCCAGCATCTAACTGAAGCTTTGATATAGTCATGACTCAATTTGCTTGAGAGATTACTAAGGTTGCTGTTTACTAAAGAAAGATTATGAGGAAATTAGGATCACAATAAGTTATAAAATTCCAGAGGGCCGACAAGTCGTTTCGTATTGGTGGCGGAAAGGATCCAGTGGCACCGTATCTTGACATCGATCGTATCATAGAAGTAGCTGCAAAGGTGATGAAGATACTGCGCTGTATGCAACGCCATATATCGGAATGAGAAATCAGATTTTGATTTTTTCTGCAGAATAATGTCGATGCAATTCATCCTGGTTACGGTTTCCTTGCTAAACGACCAGAGTTCGCTGAACAAGTTGTCGCCGCTGGAATGACATACATCGGACCGAAAGCATTTGTGATCAAGCAGATGCGCGACAACTTGAAAGCTCGTCAGTGTGCCACGCAGGCAAAACTGAAGGTGAGTGCTTATGGTCCATATATTGTAGTGGTAGGGATCCGTTGCGGATATACTCTTATTTTAAGACTTCACAATCTATGTGCGAGGTAATAGAGCTCCCTCTACCATACTATCCAATCGGTGCGCACGTACAGTATTCGCCATTTGAGATCAAATTCACGCGAATAACGCGAATTAGCGTTATTTTCGCAAATTCTTATAGCTCGGTTTGAAGTTGTGTTTTTCAAAATTTGAAGATATCTCTGAACTCAGCTCGTCAGGGACTATGAAAATGTATAATCAAATTTCAAAAAAGCTTCGCATGGGATTGCGCCAAGCACTTGAGTTTTATGTTAAGAAGCAACTGATTGGATGTGATGCGTACATAATCATACTAGTGACACCCGATCGCTCTATAGAAAGATGGGAATGCGCCACGTTCTTGACTTTCCACTATATTTCGATATTCATTGGATATTTTTTTCAAGTTTTCATGAGTTCTTTTTCATTCCAAAATGGTGAGGCTTGTAGTCTCTGCGCGCAAATTTCCTTTTTTCGCGTTCATATGGTGATCTCATCGTCAGATCAGATCTCGACGGGATTAGTAGGCTTATTTTGTGACATTTTCTCATTTTTGAGGGAAGAATTTCGTCGAAAACTGAGAAGAAATCTAAGGACTCTTCACTATCGTAGGCTGTACTTAATTTTGTGCAAGAATAACACGATGTGCTTTGTTGCTGGTGAGTGTTTCTTCTGCAGTGTGGCTCATAACTTCACTCCGCGTCATTTCCTCGTGAGAAGATCCGATTTTCTGCCTTTCATGTGTGCCTTTAAAGCTGGGAAGTGCACTGATCGATTTCCCTATAAAAAGTAATATGGAATGATATTCAACACCACCCCCACTCAAAACGTTCGGGTTTTCACCGTTTTGGCCTTTCCTTACTGCCAAGCGACATCGCCAAACCATGCCGGCCACGTGCGATTCACGTGCGCGGTGCATGAGGCCGTTCCCACACTCATAGAACGGCCATAACCAGGTCGATCGGACTGCAACTACGACGAAAGGGAATGGAGATGTCGATCGGCAGGTAAGGAAATGGCCGAAAACGATGAAAAATCACAGTTTTGAGTGCGGATAGTGTTGCAGATCATTCGATAGTACGTTTTATGGGGAAGCGACTCACATGGAGAAGCAAAAAACCGGATCTTTCCTCGAAGACATGACGCGGAGTGATGTTTTGTTCCACACTACGGAAGGAACACTAAGCTGCCGCAAAGCACATCGTGTTATTCCCACACAAAGTTAAGTGTCTAACTCTATATTCTCCCAGGAGAAATCGATCAGCGATGTACTGTTTACTTATTCAAGGCTTCTCCTAAAAATTCCGCAATCAGCTTCTTGAAAGAGATTGCTAGGCTGTTTCTCGACTTTGCTTTTTCTGGACGACCTCTATGAGATAGCGGTTTTTCAAATTTTTCCTCTGAATTTTTCCTCCCATTTCAACCTTAGTCATGAATTGTTCTTGACATTCCATTAGTGTTAATGCCTTGACTGAAAAAAAAATTTGTGTCCTGATTTGACGCGACATTGCTTAACCGTCGAGTTTTGGCGAAAAAACTAGTTTGAAAAAGAAATTACCTGACTTCACGGAAGCCCTCATAGCGATGGTCAAAGGAAACTGTGCTATAGTTGAAGGTACATACGTCACTGATCGATTTCTCTTTGGACACTTACAAGGGGAGGTCGTTCAGGGCGTGGAGCGCTTTCTCAAAACGGTTTTTTCTATGATATAGAGGGATGTGCCTGGAGTACAGAACTGTGGTCCATTTCCGCTAAATGGCCCTGAATGCCAAAAAAGGGGTGGGAAAGTGGTCCTTGGTTCGATTCCCCGCGGTGACAAAATTTTTGCACTGTGATTTGACGCCACAAAATTGGCACCAAGACGTCAACACCAGGAATTGATGTCATAATTATAATTAGGCTTACAAAAACCCTTACAAGTGGGCTTATACCGAAAACTGGTGAGAGAAAGTTGTGACGCAAAAACTTCACCAACGTGCCGTCGAACAGCGTCATAGGGGTCCGAAATGATGTCGGAGCTAAAAACGAATGTTGTATTCGTAATCAGGGCACCTGATAACCCTTGTAGTCGATGTTTCCAAGAAAATCAAGATTTTGGCCCAACTTCGAAAAATTGCTAGATGATAAAGTAAACTCTGTAGCACGTCAGGCTCGACGGCGAACTTCTTGGAAATGACATCCTCTAGATCGTCCTCAAGAAATGAGAAATGTTCCTACCGTTCAATA